TATGGAGATTTGAATGAAACCCTGACTCTTCTTCTTCCTTAGGCTTGACAGAATTTGGGAGGAAAAACTTGGAGAACTATTGGGATTTAGGAGAATATGTTCAATTGAGTAATTTGGGGGTTAAAAACGTTTATATTGTCCCTAGGGTAGAAGGTAAAATGACATAGCATTGGGTTAAAATAATTTGGAAAAGACCAAAAAGCCCTTAAAATAAAACTCTCAAACCTCACTAACGGTTCAGACCTACATTATGTAGAACCTACTACAGACCATCCTGGTTGAGCGTACTACAATTTGGACCCCTAAATGACGTGGCCCATGTACGGTTGGTAGGTCTACCAACGGACCATACATTGCCACCATAGTTCCTAAAAATTTCCCAATATTTTTTACCTAATTTCCCTTGTCACTTACGGATGCCACCTGCGGTCTGTATATGCTTCTACCAACCGCATATGGGAGCTGTAGGTCATACCTGCAACCCAAAAACTGCATTTTCCATTCTTTTCAAATCCAGATGTTACAATATCTCTCCCTTGGAAACATTCATCCTCGAATGGGACTCAAGACATCATAAGAAGGGTAAGAAGAAATTCTAATAGCCTAACATGAATGTAATCACATAGATGCCCATATCGAGGAGGAAAATCAACTCCAAGCCAAAGCATATCCAAAACATCATCTCATAAGGTCTATATGCAGATCATACTCAAATGGACATAAACATGGAGAAATCAATCAAGCTAACTTATTTTCACAAAAACCAGGTTTTTCATGAATATAAATAAATAAGGAAACATAAGAATAACTAAGACACATGAAACTAAAAAAGTAAACTATGAGGAACTAAATACCTCAAGATAGAGTAGGAATGGAGGGAAAAATATGAGGATAGTGGGACATTCTATCGGCCTAGGCCTCCCAAATAGCACTTTCAACCAAATGATTCCTCTAAAGAACCTTTATGAAAGCAACTTCTTTGTATCTCAACATCCGAACTTGCCGGACATTCAGAAAATTGAGGCAGTGTAGAACTGGCCTAAACCCACAGCTCCAACTAAGATTAGGAGTTTCTTGGTATTGGCTGGTTATTATAGAAGGTTTGTCGAGGGGTTCTCATCCATTTAATCCCCGTTGACAAAGTTGACTTAGAAGACATCAAAGTTTTAATGGTCTAAAGCTTGTCAGAAAAGCTTTTAGAAATTGAAAATGCGGTTGACTATTGCCCTAGTGTTGACCTTACCAGAGGGTACACAAGACTTTGTTGTGTGTTGTGATGCGTCTAGAGTTGGATTGGATTGTGTATTAATATAGAATGGCAAGGTTATAGTTTATGTCTCCAGACTGCTTCAGATTCATGAGAAGAATTTCCCAACCCATGATCTAGAGTTGGTTGTTGTAGTGTTCTCTTTAAAAATATAGTGTCACTAACTCTATGGTATTTATATTGATGTGTTCACCGATCACAAGAGTTTATAGTATGTATTCAGATAGAAAGAGCTTAATCTCAGACAGAGGAGATGGTTGGAGTTACTGAAGGTTAATGACATGAGTATTCTTTACCACCCAGCTAAGGCTAATGTTGTTGCTGATTCTTTGAGCAGGTTATCTATGGGTACTACTTCCCAATTTGAGGAAGGCAAGAAAGAGTTAGCCAAAAATATGCACAGACTTTCACGATTGGTAGTCCAGTTAATGGATTATAATGAAGAAGGAGTGGTGGTGATGAATGGGGCTGAATAATCACTAGTGTCTGAAGTGAAAGAGAAACAAGACCAAGACCCTGTTTTCTTGAATTAAAGGCTGATGAGTCGGGGATTTCGACTCAATTGGGGCTTTATTTTCATTGTTGTATATTCCTAAATTCCTAATATATGCTCTAAATTGATGTTAAAGTGTTGATTCGCAACAAAAAAGGCAAAAGAGAAAGGCAAGGACATTACCGGGCGAAAAAGAGCGAAAAAAATTAAAGAAGTTGAAGAAGGGCAATCCTGATGAGTGCCAAGACCACTCAGTGAACCACTGAGTAGTCCTTCACCTCGCCAAAAGTTACAGCGTGCCAGCCCTTGGACAGGTAAAATTTGGCGATGGAGCATACTCTTCAGCGATGCACCGATTAGAACGGTGAAGAAGCCTCAGCCCGCCTAAAGTAACAGAATAATTAGTGAAGATGTGAGTAAAATGGTGACAAAAAGGGACAGTTGGCGCATCGCTAACTAGATCGGTGCACTCGACTTTAATAGCGTAAAATCATAGCACAAATAGGGTGAAGATTCAAGCCAAAATGGTGATGGACTGAGGCATTTGGCGCGTCGCCAACCAGTTCGGCGACGCTCGACTAATTCCGCTGAATTAATCCAAAGGCAAAAATCTGGAAGTGTAGAAATTGAATTTTGAAAAGAGAAAGAGGTATCCAGACTCGTACTCTCTTTGGTGTCTAATCTGGAACACCAAAAGCACTGTTCTTAGTAGTTCTTGAGAAGAATTTCGAATTGGGTTTGATTTTAAGTTGATTCCAAGCATTGTGAAGACTTGAATTTTATTACCCGGGTGATGGAGACTATAGTTGGTAATATTTTATCGCTTTTTATAATATGTGGCTAAAACCCTATTCTTGGGGTGTGAATAATTGCTTTAATTAGCTTATGGGTGTTTTAATTTACTATTCCTATGTTGATTTGAAGTGGGTTTGATAGTTAGTTGTGTTTTAATCTATGGAATGTAATTGAAATTGCCATTTTAACTTAGTATTCTAGGCTTGCTTGAGAAAGAGGTTTAGAATTAAGTTTATTGATTGATGATTGTAGTGATTGGATTATCATTGATTTAGCTCGAGAGAGTGAATCTAAATTCAATCCTACCAATCTAGCGAGAGAGAGTAGATTAATTAAGGTCTTGGGCTGATCATAGTGTTATGCTTGTTGAGGTTCGAGAGAACTCGCCTGAATCGTGTTAGTTGATCGAGAGATGGCTACCACAGTCAAAGCGTAGACTACCCACTAAGTTTCAGCGTTTGTTAGTAAATTAGAATCACCCATATAGCGAAACTAGTAATTCATCGATCACATCCCCGAGAATACCTCTCTAATTGATTACTACCCTATTTTTGTAGTTGTCAATTTCCACTAAACCCCCCATTCGACACTAGTTGTCAACCATTTCAATCTACTTTAATAGTTTTGATAATGTTTACTTCTACAAACGACTAGAGCATGTCGTTTACTTCATAACTGAATTCCATTCCGTATCACTCCCTGTGGGATCGACGCCAACTCTTCATTAGATTTATACTTGATTGCTACCACCTACACATAGAATTGGATGAAGTGTAGTTGAGCGTAGAAAAAAATAGCACCGCTGTCGGGGAGTGGTGTTTAGAATTCTTTTATTGAAATTTGGTTGTGATGTTATTGTGTTGTAGTTTAATCCAATTTACTTTTGTTTGTTGTTTGTTGTCTTTGAACAGGTGACAAAATAAGTGTCAACAGAAGCAATGTTAGACAACTTGGACACAATGACGACATTAGCAACTTGAACGATGTAAATGAAATACAGTTGGGTGGCGTAGGTGCTATCTGGTTGCCTCCAGTAGTGGGAAATACGGTTTTTCACGTGACAAGAATGATTTTGCAGTTGTTGCAAATGAAAGGTTTGTTTGTAGGCTCAATTCGACTTCGTTTGTTTCCTTTCTCTCTAACAGGGGAAGCAACGAAATGGCTAGCCGAGGTTCCAAGAGGATCAATCACATCGTGGGAGGAATTCACTGAAGCATTTTATGTAAAGTTTTTTCCTCCCTCAAAGATGGTGAAATTGAGGGATCACATTCAAAATTTTAAGTGAGTAGATGGGGAGCCAATTCATGAGACATGGTTGAGGTTTCGGAAATAGCTGCTCAAATGTCCGACCCATGGACTCCAGAACAATGTGTTCTTGCAATACTTTTATCGGAGCCTCAATTCAGTCAATAAAGGGGCAGCGGACCAGCTTGTTCGAGGAGAAATCATGCAACAATCATTCGCTATAGCTTTTACTCTTCTTGATGAAATGATAAAGATCAATAGCACTTGGTACACTGAAGAAGACCAGGTGTCTTCATTGAATTTTGGGATGACAAAAGAGAGAGTGGAGAAAAACCAAGAACGGGATGAAAACATAGCCAAGATGATGTCTCAAATGGTGTTGCTTAACGAACAAGTCCTGGGGAGTATTTTTTAAAACAACGAGGTGAAAATGGTGTCAAGTTTAGAGGAGGGTTCTTACCCGGACTCCTTAAGGTCAGGTGAGAATCAAGGTTGGAACATGTTTGTTGGAAATGGAAGGAGAAGATACAAATGAGATTTGGGTAACTATGATGAATATTATATGCCAAGGAGTGGCAGCACAAGGTCAAGAGACAGTTCCGAAAGTTGTTGGGTGGATGAGATGCTAGCCCAAATTCCAAATAAGGTTGAAGGATCAGACGACATGCTTAAAGAAATAAAAGTTGACTTCTCGTCCTTGAATGACAAAAGTAATTCTCACTCAGAATCTATCAGGCAACTCGAATGGTAGATGAATCAACTTTCTGCCCAAATGGAATCCAACCCATTAGAGAGGTGTGCAAATGAAGATGTGGTGAATTTAGTAGATGATCATGAAAATTTCTTAGCAGTATTAACCCGGAGTGGGAAGGTAGCAGGTGGTGATGTGAAAGTGAGCAGTGAGGCAAATGCTAGTAAGGAAAAAGAAGTCACCATTGATGTAGAGTAGTCCAACTAAGCACCAAAAAATGACACACCAATAGATGTTGAAGAAACTCCACAACAAAGCATCACCGAGGAATTGCAAACACCTAAGGAAGGGGCTGCCCAATCTTCAAAACCGATAAAAGCATTTCCCAAAATCAATCCACCATTTCCTCAGAGACTCAAAAAGCGGGATGAGGATGAAAGGTTCAAGAATTTTCTCTCCATGTTTAAAACCCTGTTGATAAATCTTCCTTTGGTGGAGCATTGTTGGAAATGTCCGGTTACACCAAGTTCATGAAAGAGTTGGTAACTAAGAAAAGGATCATGGATTTTGAAATATTTGAAGTGTGTCACAGCTGTAGTGATATCATGACTAGCAATGTGGTTAAAAAGAAAAATGATCCGGGGGTGTTTACCATCCCTTGCACTATTGGTATATTTCAATTTTCCAAAGCATTATGTGATTTGGGGGCTAGTATTAACTTGATGCCATATGCCATTTACAAACAGCTTGGATTGGGTGTAACTAAGGAGAAAACAATGCCGCTCCTTATGGCTGATCGTTTTATCAAACATCCCATTTGCATAGTCTACTACATTTTGGTGAAAGTGGATAGATTCAAATTTCTAGCTAACTTTGTCATTTTGGATTGCAAAATTGATACTGAATTGCCTATTATTTTGGGTAGGCCATTTTTGGCAACCGGAAGAGCTCTGGTGGATGTTAAAAGTGGTGAGTTAAAGTTTTGAGTGAATGATGAGAAAGTTACTATTAATATGTGCAGATCGATGAAGCAGCCTAGTGATATTCATATGGTCTCAACAATCAATGTGATTGACGAAGTAGTGGCTAGTGTTAGTGAGATGGTGTGTATGGGTGAACCCCTTGTAGCGGTCCTTTCAAATTATGATGAGGAAGAGGTCCAACAGTGTAATGAAGTTGTGGCTGCTCTATTGGCATTAGGCTCTTATTTTAAAAATCCATTGAAGCTCGATATTTCTCTAAAAATTGAGAACTCCTCCCCCCTACAAAACCTTCCACGGAAGAACCCCCAAAGTTTGAATTGAAAGTGCTACCATCTCATCTTCGGTATGTATTTCTGGGAGCGAACAACACCTTGCCTGTCATCATCACAACATACTTACTTGATTGGCAAGTGAAATTGCTTATTGAGCTGTTGAAATGGTATATTAAGGCCATCAGGTGGACAATTTCTGATATTGTAGGGATTTCCCCCCAGTATTTGCACTCATAAAATCCAGTTTGATAGTGAATTCAAACCAAGTGTTGAGCATCAAAAAAGGTTGAATCCTCCTATGCAAGAGGTAGTAAAGAAAGAAATCATCAAGTGGCTAGACGCGGGAGTGGTATTTCTTATTGCAGACAGTAAATGGGTAAGTCCCGTACAATGTGTACCAAAGCAGGCAGGCATCACAATGATTGCAAATGAAAAAGGAGAACTTGTACCTATGAGGCCGGTCATCCGGTAGCGAGTAAGTATGGATTACTGGAAATTGAATGCATGGATCGAGAAAGATCACTTTCCAATACCATTTATGGACCAAATGCTTGATAGGCTTGCGGGAGATGGATGGTATTGTTTTCGAGATGGCTATTTCGGATACAACCAAATTTCTATTACACCAGAAGATCAAGAGAAAACCACATTTACGTGCCCCTATGGGACTTTTGCGTTCAATAGGATGTCGTTTGGGCTATGCAATGCTCTGACAACATTCCAACGTTATATGCTTTCAATTTTTACAGATATGGTGGAGGACTCAATGGAGGTATTCATGGACGATTTTTTAGTCGTTGGTGATTCGTTTGAAACATATCTTGAACATCTTGGGAAGGTTCTACAAAGGTGCGTGGAAACCAACCTAGTTCTAAATTGGGAGAAGTATCATTTCATGGTAAAAGAGGGAATAGTTTTGGGCATAAAATCTCAAGTGAAGGAATGTAAATAGATCAAGAAAAGGTCGAGATCATTGAAATGGTTCCTCCTCCTATTTCGGTGAAAGGTGTCACGAGTTTTCTAGGTCATGCGGGTATCTACCGGTAGTTTATCAATGATTTTTCCAAAATAGCTCACCCTCTTTGTATATTTCTAGAGAAGGAATCAACCTTTCATTAAGATGATGCTTGCCTCAAAGCGTTCTTGTGCTTGAAAGAAAAATTGGTGCCAACCCCGATCATTATTGCTCCCGATTGGAGCATCCCGTTTGAACTCATGTGTGATGCTAGTGATAGTTCTTTGGGGGTTGTTCTTGGTCAAAGAGAAGAGAAACTATTCCATCTGGTTTATTATGCAAGTAAAACACTAAACGTGGCTCAAAAGAATTGTACGGTCACGGAGCAAGAGTTGCTAGTCAGTGGTGTATGAATTTGAGATATTTTGAGCATATTTGTTGGAAACTAAAGTGGTGGTGCACACGGATCATGCTGCAATTAGATATTTGTTGACCAAGAAAGATGCAAAGCCAAGATTGATTCGGTGGATTTGTTGTTGCTAGAATTTGATTTCAAAGTGAAGGATCAGAAGGGAAGTGAAAATGAAGTGGCAGATCATCTATCTCGGTTAGAAACCAACTTGGTTGATTGCAATGAGAGGGACATTATGGAGGAATTTCCTGACGAAATAGTGATGAGGGTGACCACGGGATACTCACCTTGGTATGCTGACTTCGCCAACTATGTAGTGTGTGGAATAATACCCGAGGGCCTAAACTTCTACCAACAAAAGAGATTCTTGTTCGATGTAAATAGGTATTTTTTGGGATGAAACATATATATTCAAAGAATGTGCAGATCATATCATTCGAAGATGTGTACCGAAAGAGGAAGTCAATGCAATTCTCAAGGCTTTCCACGCTTCGCCTGTCGGTGGACATCATAGCGGAGTGAGAACAACCGCTAAGGTGCTTCAAAGTTGCTAGTATTGGCCATGACTATACCATGCACATGGCTTTGTTAAACAATGCACACAATCCCAAAAGCAATGAGAGGTATCAAGAAAGCATGAGATACCTCGTAATCCCATCCTATGAATTGTTCCTATGAATTGTTTGATGTTTGGGGAATAGATTTCATGGGTCCGTTTGTGAGCTCGTACGAAAACAAGTACATTCTGGTAGCAGTTGATTATGTTTCAAAATGGGTGGAATCTATAGCCTTTCCTAACAATGAGGGCAAGAGTATTGTGCAATTCTTAAAGCTCTACATTTTTGCAAGGTTTGGTACCCTGCATGCTATTATTAGTGATGGAGGGTCTCATTTTTGCAACCAGATGTTTTCTTTGTCGTTGAGAAAATACAGAGGCAAACACAAAGTCGCAACACCCTACATCCACAAACAAGAGGCCAAGTTGAGGTTTCAAATCGAGAGATCAAGGGCATTCTTGCAAAAATAGTGAATGCAAATCGAATGAATTGGTCTCGGAAGATTGGTGATGCTCTTTGGGCGTATCGCACCGCTTTCAAAACACCAATTGGCATGTCACCATATTAGTTGGTATTTGGTGAATCTTGTCACCTGCCATTCAAGCTTGAACAAAAGGCACCATGGGCGTTAAAGGCGTTAAATCTGAATTGGGAGAATTCTTCGAAAGGGCGAGTAAATAAACTTCATGAATTGGAAGAAGTTTGGCTGAGAGCATATGAAAGTTCAGCCCTCTATAAGGAGAAAATGAAGAAATGGCATGATGCTAAAATCCTTCAGCGAGAGTTCCGAGTAGGTGACTTTGTTTTTCTCCATAACTCTCGGGTAAACTCCAATCGAAGTGGTCTGGCCCATTCAAAGTAACTCATGTATTCACAAATGGGGAAATTGAGGATGAAGGTAAAGATGGACTAGCATTCAAAGTAAATGGACATCGTCTTAAGCTCTACTTTGGAGAATGTAAGGAAATAACGGTAATTGAAGTGGTGTATTAGGAAGACACATGAAAGAATTTCCACATCGTGCCTTGACGTTAAATAAGGCGCTTCTTGGAAGGAAACCCAAACTTTAGTTTTTTAAATAACGTTTGCTAAATGTGTAGGGTGAAATTCTCATTTCTAACCCTAGGCATTGGCTAAATCCTTTCGGTGGTCTGTTGATTGGTTCGGCGGTCTGCCGATTAGTTCGCGAACCCGCCCTTATCTGCTCTTTGGTCTCAACCTGAGATCCCTACATTCTGGAAGTTTCAGCGGACTAACAGGTTTTTCGACAGTTCACTAATTGGTTCGGCGAACCCGATCTTGTCTGCCCTTTGGTCTTAACCTGAGAGTCAACCATGTTGGAAATTTTGGCGGGCCACAGGGCTTTCCAGCGAACCCGATCTTGTCTGCCCTTTGGTCCTGCTAAGGAGATCACTATGCTGGAAATTTAGGCGGGTTGTTCTCCCTTTCGGCATCTCGCCGAATGATTCTGTGAACGTAGGTATCCTCACTAAAGGGAACATGTAGTGACCAGTTTCTCTTACCCTACTCTTTACATTCAGTGTTTATTACTATTTATTTTCCATTGAGGACAATATTTAGTGTACGTTGGGGGTGTGTATGACATGGTCTGACCCTCTTGATGTCTTTGTGATTGTGGTTGTTCTCTCAAAAATTTGATTGTCAGTTATGATCAATACCGATGACTTTAATAGTGCTCATGATTGAACAATATGTGTGCACAAATCTAATGAGGCAAATTGAGTTGCATAAGTCATATGTGAACTCGTAGCATCACATTATTACTAGGTTGACTATTGAGTTGACCTCTTGTGATGATCGTTGCACACTAGCTAAAACTGTAAAGTCTTATTTGATGATTGTGCTGAATGTCGTGTGTGGTGAGGTTGTTTTGAAATGTGTGCTTGATAATACCTAGAACATGCCTCGTTTGTCCAATCGACTAATGTAGGCGAATAATAGAGATGATCTTAGGCACCATTTGTGGAGAGTGAACCAAAATTGCCATTATACCTCTTTGTGACCAACTTGTGAGAGTGTGAACCTTGCTTGGCACCGTTTGAGTCTATCATTTTCTTTGAATGAAACTTGAACACAATTGACCCAATTCTTTCCTACCAAAAATCTTCATGGTGCATTGGTTATTTTGAATAGCCAAAGCCTAAGTTGGGGGTGTTGTGAAAAGGAGGAAAATCAAGAAGTTTGAGACATTCACCCTTGAATAATCGTGTTGAAAAAGAATGTTTAAAAAATATAGAACCCTTCCATGTTAACAAATAATAAGAGAGAGAAGTGAAAGATGAGAAAGATCAAAAAAGAAAAGAATTGTTGAAATAAAGCTTGTGCATTGAGCAAAAGAAATAGGGAATCTAATGAGTCATGCTTAAAAGAACATAGGGTGGATTGTGAGAATAACAAGGTGTGGAAGAGAAGGAGAAAAAGTGAAATGTAGGCCATGCTTCAAATTAGGCATTTAGGACAATACAACTATGAAAATAAAGCCCCAAATTAGTCGAAATCCTCGACTCATCAACACCCCCAACTTAAACTTTTGCTTGTCCTCAAGTAAAACCAAGATCAATCAGTTCAACAAAGATGTCTACAAACAGTGCTACTGTATTAAAGATGTACTAGTTAAAGATGTACTAGTATACATATGATTATGATTATAAATCTCTCTATTATTATGAACTAGAATACTTCTGTTTTATTGATTTCTTATTCGGAGTGTCATATCTATTCTGAGGTCATTTGAAATCATGGTTAATATATCATGGATATCGTAAGAGCTTTGAGTTGTTACATATGGTTTAAAATAAGAATTTGTGGGGCTAAAATAACATATTGTATCTATAGTTGTGTTAAATTAATAAACAACAAGTTTACATAGAAATGTATTATTGAAGACTATGTGTCACGATCTGAGCCTACACCCTGGACCTGATCGGCACTCGAGAACCATTTATGATCCTCAAGATAACCCTTGGCTTGACATACTATGACTCACATGACTCTATAAGATACGCGGAAGCTTAAATAGATGAACACTTAGGCATTCAAAGAAAATTCTTAAATCACTGTCTTGAAATACTTAACATAAGTCATAAGTTAAATAACCATCCAGAGAAAAACAACGGAAAACATCTAATTTTATCTGTCTACAAAGCCTCTAACAGTTCAAGATAGATGTTGGGACAAGACCCATGACACCTCAAATACTACTAAAACAAAATGAAAATGGAGTCTCCCAAAAGCAAGGAGCCCTCACCAATTACTGTCTACGAGTGTAAGATATCTCAACGGAACACCTATTGATAAACCTGAAAATCTGTGTCTGCATCATAAAAGATGCAAGTCAAATGATATCAATACATTAAATGCACGAGTATGTAATAGGGTTAGATTAAACAGTAACTGAACTGAATGACTAATAGAAACTAAAAAATATATCAATACATGAATAATACATGAAAATCCTTTAAGCTTTACAAGATATGCAATAGAAACAATATGAAAATAATATACTTTACTTATTGAGGGTTTCTCTAATCGACAATCATTACTACGAGTCTAGTAATAATACAACGTTTCGCCCATGTTGCAAGGAACATCCTATACCTTGCCGGGATATAGGATAATATTGTGACTCTGTATCCATCTAATAGGCCTTCTCAGAGGTAGTGAGGAGTCGCACGAAGAATCAGTGCTATCCTATCCTACGTTGGCTACGTAATTTATTAGGACTTTTGAGTTATAATAGACTCTTACCCAATTCGGTGCTCGATACTACTCCCAAAATAATCAATATCAATTATGATTAATCACTCTTTACAAAGAAAGGGACTATTACTTTTCAGAAACATCAATCATACTCTTTCTTTTCTCAACTATCAAATAGTACATATGAAACCATTTGATTCTTTCTTTAAAAAGTCTCTTTTCAAAACATGCATCTAAAATGTATATGATACATTCGAGACCATTAAAGTTCCCTTAGAACTCTTGAAATTACTAGTATTTAGGTTCTACTAATGAAAACTTGTAACGACCTATTCCCGTCGTTATAGAAAAGCCATCGAAGAGAAATTTTAGGCCGGGTAGTAACTTGAAAATGCCTAGCCTAGTCCAGATTTGGATGAAAATGGAGTTAGTGATATCTAGGGAAATTTGGTAACAAATGAGAGATCTAATAATGAATTTGATCACATGAGTGGATATATAAGATGTTAAGGAACCCGTACGACTTTACAGAATTGAATTCGGATGAGTAGAACTCCCGAAACGAATTTTAGCGTGAATAAGTAGTTTCTGAGTGTCATGGGTTGAAGGTGTGTTGTGAAATGGGGGTTTGAAACTCTAATTCCGAGGTTCTATCTCTGTGCAAGCCGCCAGGGCGGGGCCGCTGTGGTGGGATGGGGGCCGCCATAGTGGGCTATTTGTGAATTAAGTCAGAAATAAACCCCAAAAACGTCTTTATTCTGCAAACTTCGTTCTTGAAGCTAAAGGTAAGGTTTTCACTCCCCGAATCCATTTTTTGACCCGTAGAATGTAAATTCATTGGTAATTATTGTTGGGGAGGGTTTTTCAACTGTTTTGGATGGTGGAGAAAACCCTAGTTGCACCTTAAGATCATAATTTGGGTCTTGGGTTATTGGGTTTGTCATAATTCGAGTAAATTAGACCTTAATTATTGATCCCTGTATTGAATTGGTTGTGTAGACCTAGAGTAAGCGGAAAGAATTCGACAAGGGAAGAATCAAGTTTCATAGGAGGGTTCAGCTTTGTTCGAGGTAGGTGATGGTTTTATTTCTTGTTTGTGTAATATATGTTGGTAATTGTTTCATTGTAATGCATATATGGATGTGAATGAAGCATTGTTAATCAAACGTAATGATATGAGTGTGAATGAATAAATGTTTGTCATTAATCATAACTTGATTGTATGATTATGAGAATGTACATCGAGGAGATCAAGGCTAAATAGTTTGAGGATGACAGTTTGAGTGAGCTGAGTAAGAAGAGAACATCATGTAAGGCACAAAAGACCACTCTTGATGCGAAAGGTCTGCTCAGTTATAAAGGGAGGATTTGTGTTCCTCGAGTAGATGACTTGATTTAGAAATTGTTGACGGAATCCCATGGTTCGCGATATTCTATTCATCCGGGTGTGACCAAGATGTATCGAGATTAGAAGCCACTTTATTGGTGGCCATGAAGAAAGATATAGCGATGTTTGTGGCTAAGTGTCAAAATTTCCAACAAGTAAAGTATGAGCACCAAAGGCCGGCAAGTTTGCTTCAGAGAGTGCCAATTCCAGAATGGAAGTGGGAAATGATAGCTATGGATTTCATAGTTGGTCTTCCCAAGACTTTGGAAAAGTATGATTATATTTGGTTAGTGGTTGATAGATTGACTAAGTCAGCCCATTTTATTCCGGTCAAAATAGATTACAATGTTGAACAGTTGGCTAAAGTTTATGTAAAAGAGATAGTAAGGCTGCATGAGGTGCCCCTTTCTATCATCTTAGACCGTGGTAAGCAATTCACATCCAAGTTTTGGAGGAAATTA